AGTTATCTCCTAGATCTAACCGACTTGTAACCCTGCCGCCTAGACTATATAAGGCGGGCAGGGACCCCCTCAAAACACACGCAATATCATACGATAGCCAATACAATCCAACAGACCACAGGAGTAGGGTATTACGTCATACTGATGGCCTGAACCTATCTAACTCATGTGTCTATGTTGCCTTCATGTTCTCAATTACACGCATCTCTACCGATCAATCTACCTTCATGGGATACCCCTCAGAGCACTACCAACGATATTCTGTCGATAGACCCCAAGGACGTGGGTTTTGTCTCGACCAAGGTCGCGGGCTCCGTCTCGCCTGACCTTAAGGCCACGGGCTTCGTCTCGCTCGACCTTGAGGACACAGGTTCCGTCTTGTCTGACAGGGACCCATACCGCCACCAACCACTCTAGGTCCAAGCGTATGGGCCTGGGTCAAAACTCTAATGTCAGGGAAGAGACTGGCATGCCTCGATATAACCCATGGCCATGACCGGCCATACCTGGCGGTTCACATCAAGAACAGTGTTGGGCATGCTAGTACTGTTCTGCCAAATCCTCGTACGGACGCTGCAGGCACGTTAGTTCACCACAACATCCGTCGGGATGGAGTGGAACGCCATGACCGACAGGTGATGCCTGCACATGGTGCTAGTGACGAATAGGGCCATGACATGGAGCTGTCCCTGTTCACATCTACAGGATCAGAGGGACCCACATGAAGGAGGAGGACCCGGCAACCCTAGAAGCCTTCTCTCTCTCGTTCTTCTCCTTTTTCTCCTCTATAGCCCGCGCTTTCCCTCCCCCTATAAAAGGGGAAGTAGGGTGCCCCAACAAGGGGATCGACAGGGGAAATCTTGACACGAGAGAGCAAAACACATGAGCACAACACGAACACATGGCTGAGCGGCAAGCGAGCTCTTAGCACCCGATTCACTCCTTCCACCAGAGACTTGGGATCCTCTCCCTCTCGCCTGTTTGTAACCCCTACTGCAAACCAAGTGCCAGTAACATGAGCAGCAGCGAACTGGACGTAGGGACGTTCCGCCCGAACTAGTATAAACCCTTGTGTCCTCCGAGCACACCATCCGAGCCAGACGCGCAAATACAAATTTACTTGTTGGTGGTCCAAAAACACCGACAATAGGACTCCGAGTTGTTGTTTTGGTCCATCCTATGTCCAAAAGTCCATATGTGTCCTTCATGATTATACCTGAGGGTCATGTCATCATTGTCGCATGGTCCATCAATGTTAAGCCTTTACTTGCCCTTCACCTTTGTATTTGGTCCTTCACCACCAACCCTTTGCTTGGCCTTCGCTATGCCATGTTCCATTGTGGCCAAGCCCTAGTTATGCCATCACCATGCTAATGATGCTCCTAAGTTGGCTTATCAATGCTAACCCACACATAATTTTGAGTTTGCATGCCTAGTTATTCATGGATGAGATTAATAAGCATGGGACATGCATAGATGCATGTGACCTCCGTCGTTGAACTCCACCTAAAGCGCAAGCATCAGTAACACTCCATCGCTGGCTCATTGCCATGTGTTTTAGGTTTGGTCATCCACTGACATAAGCTCCCACTAGAACTGTCAAGTTTTAGAGTACAACATGCCTCTTATATGAGCTTTACACTGCCACAACATTGCCTCTTCCGGTAGTAGCGTTTCCATATGTGGTCCGATCCTCTCCATCATTGCATCTTCACCATCGCCTACTATATATGTTTATAGACACAAGGCACACACTTGGTGTTCTTTAGGATGTTAGCGTTCTTTGTATTCTTCTTCAAGGACTGCTACCTCAATGTCAAGATCGTCAGCCTTACATACATCGTCTGGACTGACGTCCTCGCTTCATCCACCATAATGTTGTTGCTAGTGTTTCCATCTCTTCCCCACCTACTTGGTGTACACATCAAGCATTACGACTATGGGTGATGCATCTTGTCGGCTTACAACCTTTAGCTTCTTCTCTAGTCTGATTGTCTAGGCCGCTTATGCTCTGACTGGAGTGGGATGTTAGGGTATCTATAGACATGGTAGATCAACATCATTTATAACCTTGACTTGCCTTATCTCTAAGGGATAATACTTTTCCCTAAGCAATGTACTCCTATATAATTCCACTGCTACAAATGATTTTTCCACTCTTGCCTTTGGGCATGGGCCCTAAATAGTATAGCATTGATGTCTACTTCACTGCTATGGAAAGGATTTGTAGAGGCAGGCAAAATATTTTCGTAGAGGTTGTCTATGTCTCTCTAGAAATCGATTTCTAGGGGTGGACCGGTGTTTTGCCTGCCTCTAGAAATCAATTTATAGAGACAGTCAACAAGGTGGCCTGCCTCTAGGAATTGTTTTATAGAAATTATGAATTGGCCAAAAAAGTAGCAAAAACCTTTTTTAACCCCAGAAGAGGCTCACAAAGAAACCCCCTCACCACAAGTCACAAGTGTGATGTTTTTTCGTGTTAAAGACGCACACGTGCACCACTCGAGATTTGAACCCCTAACCTCAAGCTTCATGCATGCTCCCCTACCAATGTGCCACAGGGTCACCTCTAACCAAGTATAGGATACTATCTTTTTTATTAACTTTCATAAATCTTGTACTAACTGTTTTGACCTCTAAACAATATCAAACTTATAAAATTTAAACTAAGTGTTAGATCTCATTGAGCATACAACTTTTGTTTAGGGTGTCCCACTGTCTGAGGTCATTTAAAAAATTTAAAAAAAATTGAATTTCAAAACTTGAGAACTTAAATAAAAAAATTTTGGACCCTAAATTGTATTAGACGAAAAAGTAGTCAACTAAAAGTTATAGATCTCTTCAAGTTCTACAACTTTGATAGAAAATTTGTCTTGATCTAACTTGATTTCAAAAAGAAGATATTTTTGTAGTACACATATTTTAGAGATAGGCTACATTACCAGCTGTGCGCATCTAGAAATGGATTTTAAGAGGTGCTCTATAAATGCTCTCTATCTTCTAGAAGTGGGTGCTGTATCTAGTTGCCTCTGAATATAGACGTCATTCCTAGAGGTGGATAGAAACACCAACCTCCTATAGGAATCAATTTCTAGAGGTGGGCCATCTTTGGGAGCAATTTTAGAGACGGTACTTTATAGAGTCGTCTCTAGAAAAAAGGAGGCACCTCTAAAAATCTTTTTTGTAGTAGTGCTTTTATATATACCAGTAGTGAAAAAATAGGTGGCATCAATATATAGTGTTTGTGTACTACTGTATATGCATGATTTAAATGCTTTTAGTAGCAAAAACAATAGGGATAAAACACTACAGCATATTACTCACCACAACGGTTTTCACCGCTACATCATACACCGACCTCTAGTAGTGAAAATAATTTTTACCACTTTTTTTTGCCCCACTGCACCCACTGGCCTTTTGAACTGCCGGTGAAAACATTACCACCATCGGTTCAGTAGAAAGCGGTGGTGAAAATACCATTGGTGAAAATAGTTTCTGTAGTAGTGAAAGTTAATTAGGAGCCAACACAGTGTTTATTAGTGACATTATTGGACATCCAGACTATTTGCTTACATTAGCTGTGATAGTTTGGCCACTAACCGTGATTGATGGTCAAATTTATTAGCCAAATTCTATAATTTTGCCAGCAACGTATTTATATATAACATGGAAGTAATGGTAGCCCGCACTCGGCAGAAACATTAACAAAGTAGTGCCTGTCTACATCTGAATCAAACTATTGGAGTCCTGGCCATCAAATGCTATCCTGCAACATGAATGACTATTGAAACCTGAGCTATCTATCCATCAACAATAGATCATGGTGCCTGCCCAACAAACAGCACTACAGAAGTGAATGGAGTACATGCATCTAGATGGGCAGATATCAACACTGGAACATTTGGACAGTGTGACTTTTTTGCAGTTCACACGTACGGTGTTGTGTCAAATTCCTGGAAATCCCCAGTATAAAAACTTAAACATATCAATGCTACTCTACTTCAATTTGAACGCACTCATTCATCCTGCTCACTAAATTAGATGAAGTGCATGAACGAATGCTAGAGTATTTTTAATTTCTTACTAAATTTGTAATAAGGAGCAGCGGTGTATTCAATGAAAACAAACAGGGAATGAATAAAATATGCAGGAGGCAAGGTTCTTTCTAATTTAATTTGGACATTATTCGGCGATTGTAAAAACTTATCATGAATAGAAACATTATATTACTCACTATGAATTAACAAAAAGGAGTTCTCAATACAGAAAACAACAAAGAGCAGAGTGGCTGCAACAAAACAGGCTGAAATGTACTTCAAAATAAGATAATTTCTCAGGAAAATAAGATATCTCTTTGTACCACATTGCAACTCAATCTTAAAACATGTTCTGCCTACATCTTTTATTATAAATAGATGCATTGGAACACGCAAGAAAATTATTTATATAAATTTGGTTGTATAAAACGTCGAGAGAGATTTGTTTGATGAGCTTGTTGTAACAAGATAGGTTGTTTTCGAAAGCTTGTTGTAGCATGGTAGGTTGTGTTGGAACTAGTTGTTCTTTTGAGAGACCTCTTGGCAATGTATCCAAACAGGTACTTGGTCTTAAAACAAAATCAAGGACCATGTTTTTTCTTTAAAAGGATGGCAAGAGTTTTCTGCAAGATTTATTAGACGAAAAAAACAGAGGCAAGATATTGCCCAAAGTTTTTCAAAAAAAAAAAGCAAATGTTATGTAGCACTTTTGCTTTGTTTTGATACAGAATTTGTGTACAGCTGGAAATCACATAGATCAAAGAAATGTATCCTGGGACACAATAGCTTTAGGAATAAACATTTAAGTGCATGAGTGCACCATCTCCAACACTGTCATCCTATAAATAGGACCTCACACAAAACTCTCCTCACACCAGCACAAGCAAAACATAGAGCAGCACGAAACTCTAAACACACAATCCAGACCAGTAGCTCTACTAGCTAGAAAACATTAGAGGTTCAATGGCAAAAGCACAGGCATCAGCTGCGCTGCTCATCGCCGTGGTGGCCCTCGCCACAATGGAGGGCGCCCACGCCATCTGCGGCATGGCAAACGAGGACTTCAAGCTGTGCCAGCCCGCGGCATCTGTGAATGACCCAACAGACAGCCCATCGGCGGAGTGCTGCGCTGCGCTGGGCAAGGCCGACCTTGGGTGCATCTGCCGCTACAAGGGTGTCGCCGGCATATGGATGAGGATCTACCACATCGACCCCAGCCGCGCTATGGCGCTACCAGGCAAATGCGGCCTTACAATGCCCAGCAACTGCTCGTAATGATGCGATGCATGATCGTTGATCGAGCTACACGCTCGATCGTCGACCCGACGGCCAGAAGTTGTGTATCCGTACGTATGTTATGGCTAGCTAAATAAGTGGAGCTCGTGAAAGGCTCTCTGTGTGCTCCTTGATGGCTTCATCTATTGTTTGTTTGAGTGTGTGATTGTGTGCGTGTGTGCTGAAAGCTCAGTAATGTGTGCTCATTTCAGCTCATCAGCTCGATCCATGTGAGCTAGTGCGTGTCTACATGTACAAGTCTCAAGCCTGTAAGCCGGTTGTCATATATGATCCGTATATTTCACTGAGTATCAGTAACTGTGTGTACCTTATTATAGGGTAAGAGCCATGGAATACAAAATGGGTCGGATATATGAGCTTGTTCCAATTTGAAATTTCAATATTTCTAATAATGTGCGCTTCAAGTGACGATATTATTCTGCTCTGACAGCTACGGATTCTGGCAAAAAATTCAAATGACATCCCTGTATACGGATGTTCGAGTATACATCTCATTGTACATGACACTCCAATGCTACCAATGCTCAATATAATACTCCATTTTATTTGTCTACATGCATGCAAGGCATATTTGAACTGCACAGTAGAAATACATGCACATTTTAAACTGGAACTATCACGATTGATCTAGTATGTATACATGCATAAAAGTTCATGTGGCAATTGTTGAGCTCACCAGTTTCGGTCACCAGTGTTCCACGAGTATTGGGAAAGCAAAATGGTAATGTTGGGCCAGGGCGTCCGTCTGTCCGGACGCTTGCTCTCTACTGCGCCATTTATTTCCCCACTCAACCAACCGCCAGCCACTCGACCACGCCGCCCGCCTTCCCTACTCCGCCTCCACTGCTCCGCCTTCCCCACTCCGCCTCCACCGTGCTGCCCACCTACTACACTGCGCCATCTGCCTGCCGTGGCCGCTCCACCGCTCCATTGAGCCAGCGAGACTCCACGACGAATGCTCCAGCAAACAGGCGAGGGGAGGAGCTTCGTGTGACGCCGCCCCCGCTAGCGAGTTGCCTACGCCACTGCTGCACTGGTGAGCTCCGCACGTTGCCGCCGACCTCCGCACCGGCATCAAGGTCCTCAACGACGAGCCTCCATTCATCCAAGCAGCAAGGTGACATTGCGCTGAAAGCGCATGTTGCAAGCATATGTTAAGTGTTTCAGATGTTTCAGAGGTATGTTGCAAGTGTTTTCTATCGGTGTTGCAAAAATAGATCGGGATGTTGCACATGTTGCAATGACTATACCGTATGTTTTTCAAGTGTATGTTCCAAATGTTTCTTCTGTTTTAGACATATATTGCAAGTGTTTTATCTAGATGTTGCAAAAGTAGATCTAGATGTTGCATATATATGCATGTTTCAAGCGTATGTTTCAAGTGTTTTAGGTGTTTCATCATACGTATGTTGCAAGTGTTTCATCTGTATGTTGCATATGTTTGCAGTGGCTACACACATGTTTTCAAGTTTTTTCTAGTGTTTGCAAGTGTTTCAGACATATGTTACAAGTGTTTCAGTTGTTTCGGATATATGTTGCAATTATTTCACGCAGCTGCTGAGGCGTCGCCGAGCGGGCGCAGACGGTCCGCGTGCAGTCGGGTAACGTGGGCTCACACATGAGCGCGGCCACGTTATCGTCCGACGGATCGGTATCTGATCGTCCGGGCGCTAGCAGTTCCCTAAGAAAAAATGGAAGTATAGCATACGTTCGTTATCTCAGGTACATTCCGGTACAGTGATGGGAATGCATGTGATTTTTTTCTTTGAATTTCTAAGAGGCCAAACATGTAACCAAATGGATTGTTTGTTGTTTTTATTGGATCTTAGTAGAAACCAAAAGTTTTTATCCAAGGAATGGAACCTTTAGAGATTATATTATATCAAACCATCTGTTCACATTCATGTGAGCTTGTCTCGTTAGGAAAAAAAAGCAATGGCAAGTTATCAGTCCTTTATTTAATTATAGTAAATGTTTGTGTACTATTCATTACCAAAAGAAAACAATACTTTGTGACTAGGATTTTCAACGTCTTTCCTCAGTTTTCCTTTTTTTTAGAACACTTCCTCAGTTTTCCTTAGTTTTCCTTCACTGTTAGGATCGGAACTCTTGTTCACGATATTTTTGTGTCAGTTAGATCAACGACACTGTCTGCCTGTTTGAGTGTTTGTTATACTTTGGTATTCGCCAAAAGAAGCAAGTTGGCAACTGATGAACCAGTCCTGCTACAACTCTGCAAACTATAAGCTACTTGCATGTTCCCAGTCTTCAGTCCATCATCCAATATCGGCAACAATGAAAGGACAAGCAAGATGAAAGGAAATCTATCGCAGGCTACGTCAAAAAAGAACAATTTCTTTGGTGACCAAACTGGATATGCTTGCGCACTACGTCAAAAAAGAACAATTTCTTTGCCGCGTGGCGGCATGCCATATAAGCTACTCCTGTCCCTAAATATCTGTCGTTTGCGCTTCCCAAAAATCATTGACTAAATATATATTAAAAAATATTAATATTTATAGTACATAATTAGTATCATTGGAAAGATCTTTGAATCTAGTTTTTTAATAAATTTATTTGGAGATACAAATGTTGCACGCATTTTCTATAAATCGAGTCAAACTTATGGCATGCACACCAACAGCGACAGATATAAAGGGACGGAGGGAGTAGTGCGCAAGCATATCCAGTTGTGCAGGCACTGTGAAGAGGTCGGCAGATAGTTTTTGTTACTTTTTGTTTGCTTTTATTGATGAAGATATTTTTGCTACATATGCCAGTCACTATCGTACAGCTAGCTATCAGCACAACCGGCTGATCGGGGAGCACGATCTGCTCTGCTTGGAGATCGAGAGCCTAAATGGAGTGCGTGTTTGCCATGATATGATATAGTGCTTTCATCAATCTCCGGATGAATTCGTCAATCAAAGCTGCCCAACCACTGCATGCATGTATTAGGTCGGCAGAGGATTATTTGCTATTTTGCTCCCTAGCTTAATTAAGGCGAGTAATTTTGTGTCCACTTATTATATAACCTTTACAATAAATTGTCTTTTTAATTTGGGTGTCTTTTTTGCGATGGGGGAGTCGAATCGAGGACCTAGGATACTATTGATGCTCTTTAACCACTAGGCTACAGGCTCTTTAGCTAATTTGGGTGTCCGGTGTAGCTCATATGCATTTTAGTTTATTATATGAGGCAGTTGTTTCATAGAAACTGCCTCTTTCTCTCGTCTATATATTCCTCTCTTATCCACATCATTTAAAATACTACGTGGCTCTGCTGACCGCACCGTTAACGTACAGTAATATAATACTTATCGTGAAAGTGTGATATCTTTATCTTCTTTCATTCAATCCATCTTTCCATATACTGAGAATTGGAGAGATCATGTTAGGTTGTTTTTATAGTGGATCATGTAAGATATTGGCAAGTAGCAAAATGCATGCTACTCCAGTTTTTCTTCTTTCTTGCTATGGTTTACCCCTAGCCCAGCCTATGGTGCTATTTATAGCCTCTTTAGTTCGGTTCATGTAGGGGTACTTGTGTAGAGTTGGACGTTGGTGTTGCTCTAGCTTTGTGGGGTTGAGCGACCTCAATAGGGGTCAGCCAACCCATGATCTCCCCTGCCTAACGCTTCAGATGAACTTTCTAGAGGTGGTTGACAAGTATCCAAGGTGGAAATGGTCAATTTGGGTGCAAGTGATGGTCGACCTCCCTCTAGTGGGGTCACCCAACCTAATAACCCTGCCACCTCTATCTTTCATCTTTCTTAGAAGTGTTGATCAATGGTCCATAAAATGTGTGGTAAGTGATTTCATTGATTGTGGGGCCATTTGTTTTTGTTAGATGGTTCCATGGATCCATGTGCTCTCTACGTGGCATCATTCTATCCTTTGGCATGAACAAACCGCTTATGATCCAATGTGTAGACTGACTTCTTAGTGTGCTCCCTTGCATGTGGTAAAGTGGTGGGCCAAGATGGGCTCTTGGTGGGTCGGTCAACCTAGGTACAGGCCCCCTGAGGTGGCCCATCTTTCTCCCATATGTTCCAGTATTCATATTTTTGTTAATGCTAAAGACTATATACGACTATGGTGTATGCCATACACATTTCCATTTTTAAGCATGAGTAGATGCTTTGAAATGTTGAGTTAGTGACCATCAACACTGGTTCTATAGATTGGTTAAAGTACTAGGGTCTCATGTTTTCTAGCGAAAACATAATGATCTTGAACAACATTCATAATATTTTGCATACATGTGTTCACCATATCACTAACAATCCCAAGTAACTCATCTTTATCATTTAGTAATGGGGCACAACTTCCTTGGGTTTTTGCCTGCTACTAAAGAGGAGCAAAGGTGACCAGTGGTAGAGCTTGAAGAGGATTTGAGGAGGGGCCAACAATACTTAAGTTATCTATATTGTGCAAATCTTTATTACTTTCTAATGACTAAACATAGATATCATTAAGAAAATGCAATCACCGAGGGGGGCCATAGCCCACTTTAGCCTCTACATAGCTCCGCCACTGAAGGTGACATCCTTGATCTTCTCGATATTGCCCTACTTATCCACCAAGAAGTGAGGTAGGAGTTGTTGCCTTGCATCTAGCTTGTGTTATTTTGCCTTATGCTTTTCTTCCTCATCAATCTTCCACATGTACTCCTCAAGAGCTTTTATTCATCGACCAAAATCTTCTCAAGATTAGGCTTGTTGATGTTGTAAAAAAGTGTGTACACACCAAGAATGCGCCAAATACTCAAACACGCCATATGCCATAACATAGGGACACACTTATGTAGCGTCCCTGTGCGAAAACATGGTCCGATATTCTTGGGTTGCACTAGTAAGATCGCTTGCTCAAGAGAGACTACGCCGGGGCAAGCGCACTTGGGATCTTCTATCATCAGCAATCTTGCTAGAATGTTCTCAATCGCCATCGAGACAAAGGAAGAACATAAAATTAGGGTT